AGCATCTGCTGTAAGGAGTGAGGCGTATTGGTTTAGAAAAGCACTCTACAGGGAAGGTTTTAATGCATATTTTCTTCTTTGCATTGATCTATAGTCTAACTTTCATGTTAAAAATCTCAATGAGTTTAAACATGTATTATCGGTTATAATGTTTATGCTTATAGTTAGCTTTTAACTGATTGTTTAGTTTGTTTTCTTAAAGGATCTGAAATTCATTCACTGGCACATATTCATAGAATGCACACTGTGTGAGGCTATCTCACTGGCAAGGATTAGGACTGCAGCCAACTAACTCTGATCTTACAGATTATGATCTCTGTGTTTACGTGCACAGCGTGTATGGGGGTGTGCTTGTGCACACACCTGTGTTCATGGGTGGCTGAGGGTGTAGAGTGGAAAAGGAATAAGACAGTAAATAAGAACAAGTAAACAGGGGCTGTATCTTTTTAGTAAGAATATTGCCAGAAAGAGATGATGTAGTGCCAAAAGAAATATCTGGTAAAAAGAAGTAAATTTAAATCATTGCAAAATAAATTTTAGTAAATAATATCCCTAGCCAGAATGTAAACAAGGGCTCTCATGAGGATATCCTAGCTTTATGATGGCTGGCATTTCATTTCCCAGATTTCAGAAACTAGTAGCAAAATCCTTCTAGAAGAACAGTAGAATGCTTGTCTAGTTGCCATAGTACGTCGTCATTCAGTATCTTATGTTTAAAGTTGAATTAGTTCATTTAATAAGAATTTGCTGCATGTCTTCTGTAGGCTGGTCAGTCATCATTTTAAGCTTGAAGAATTAGTAGGGAACCAAACGTGAACAGTCCTTTGAGCTCAGGGGAGTTAGGATCTAAGTTAGGCGTTGTGAGGGGGAAAAAGCAGTCCTTGGTCAGAGCACCAAGTCCTATTACCAGACTGTGGAGACAGCCTGTCATCCTGGTGTTCGCCATCACACCAGGCATCCCACGCATTCTTCCTTATGATTTTCAGCACTTAACATTTAAAGGGCCTCAGGCAAATCGTCTCATTTAAACAAAGCTGAATACTATGTACTGCGCTCATTTCACTGAAAGTACATGGGGTCCAGACAGGTGGAGGGGCCGTTGCCTTTGTTATCTTCGGCTGTCTTCCAGTGTGGCACTGGGGGTCTTCAGGGGAGGAGAAGGTTCTCCAGAGCCCTTGTTGGGGAAGAGCAACCAGACGTGCCCCAAGTCATGTTCCCTTCTGAGGGCATGAAGTTACTGTGTAAGCACACTGGGTTTGTTGTCTCCGCTCAGCAAGAACTGAGGAACAGGACACAGGGACAGCAAGCAAGCAGCAGGTCTGTCTCAGAAGTGGCAGACACACTTCTCTGAGAAGGGGCTGGGAATCCGGTGGGTAGTTTGGGCCTGTTCTTTATGATCCCTGGAATTTCCTCCTCTCCTTTTCTCCTCCCTGTCCACGCACCCCTCTGTCCACGCGTCTGTTTCTCTACTGGTCCCCTGCTGAGGAGCTCCAGTAGGAAGTGTCAGTCTGATTGGGTCCCCGCTGTGTCCACCACACTTCCATCCAGCAGGAAGCTGGCCTCATCAGAAGACCCTCTCCTGCTCCTTTGTTCCCGGCCTGCCCGGACCTCCTCATTCGCCATCTGGCCCTGGCTGCCTGCGCCCTTCTATGGCTCCTGCCGTGACGGTGGTGGAGGTGGCTCCTGGGAGTGAGCACAGAACACAAGTGTCCACGAAGACCAGCAGCACATCTCTGCACCGCCAGCGCGCTCCAGCCTTCCTGCCCCCCCTCCCCCCGCTGCTCTGGTCTTCTTGGCACCACCCTCCACAGCTGTGAAGTGTGAACTTGAAGAGATGCCCAAAGGAGCCGTTGCTTGTTTTTACTTGAAATCACAGCGGAGTCGGTTTTGTTTTAGCATCTCTGGCTTTTTGACTTCTTAGAAATATAAAATAAGAACCACCATATTTTCTTCACATTCTTCCATCAATAGTATTATTTGGATTGAGAATATAAATTCATACAGCCATTATGGAAAACAGTGTGGAGATCCTTTTAAAAATAAAAATAGAACCGTATGGCCTAACAGTCCCACTATTGTGTATCTATCCAAAGGAGTGGAATCGGCACTTCTGCACTTCTGCACTGATCCCAGCATTATTCATAGTAGCCAGAATGTGACCCACCTAAGTGTGCATCAGGAGATGGATGGATGAAGATGAGTGCCACACACAGCTGCATGCTCTGCAGCTATTGCAAAGAGGGAGTTCTGTCATCTGTCACAACACAGATGAACCTGGAAGACCATGTGTAACTGCAGTCAGCCAGACCCAGAAAGACAAACGCCACATGGTCTCATTTGTATATGGGATTCAAAGTCATTGAACTTGCACAGTAGGATAGTGGCTACTGAGGCAGGGGCTGGAGATTGGGGAGAATCAGGTCAAAGAGTTTCAGTTTCACAGGACAAAGAGGTTCCAGAGGTCTGTCTACAGCATGGTAATTACAGTGATAACATGACACCTTCCTGAAAAAAGCAAAGAGCACGTCTTAAGTCTTCTCTCCACAAACTTACACAAAACAATGGACATTCATACATATTCATATTTGAGTTTTTCCTCATTTATAGCATTTTTGAAGCCAGTTATTTTTCGTGGATTAGTTTTTTGTAAGCCAGACTGTTTGATTAGTATGTTTTAATTTTGTTTTGTGTTCTTTCACTTTTAACTTGATCTTAATTTTTACTGTATATGATTTTTCCTCCTACCCGTTTTCCTTGATTCCTTTCTTCTGCCAGTCTCTATTGCTCTTTCACTCTTAATCTTTTACTGCTTTTTCCTTCCTCCTCCCTCATAATCATCACATCCTATTATCACTTCTGTTCTATCCCTGTCTACCATTTGAAATTATAAACCTTTTTGCAACTTGCTGTTTTTATTATAGGCAATAACTGATCATCTATTGTGATAATTAACATTGTAGACATCGTAGTAGGAAATATTTTGTTTATGCTGTGAATTGTTGGATTCGGTTGTTGTCTCCCCCCTCAACAATGAGGTACTAGAAGGCTTCAAAAGACACTATAAATGCACAGGGTAGAAACTCGACTGCCTCAGATCCATACTGTTAGATGGGTAGACACACAACATGAGAAAGCAAGGGAACAAGTTGCCCCAAGCAAATCAAGATACTCCAATTACAGAATCCATCAGCGCCAAAGTGGAAGACACGTCAGAAGGAGTTTAGAATGTACATAGTTAGACTGTGAAGTAAAGGATTATGTAAGAGAGCAAAGACAGTTATAGCAAGAGATCAGTTAAATAAAGAGGTTCTGAAAAAAAATCCTTGAAATTAAGGAAACTAAATTAAAAATTCAATAGAAAACATCACCAACAGACCAGACCACCTGGAAGACAGAGTCTCAGGCAATGAGGACAAAGTATATAATCTTGAAAATAGAGTCGACCATGGAGAGAAGATGTTAAGAAACCATGAACAGAAAGATGGGATAACATGAAAAGATCAAATTTAAGATTTATCAGGATAGATGAGAGTGTGGAGATACAAACCAAAGTAATATACAATCTTTAATGAAATAATATCAGGAAATATCCCAAACTTAAAGAATTAAATGGAAAAAAAAATACAAGAGGCTTATAGGACTCCTAGTAGACCCACACCAAGGCACATTATAATGAATCTTCCTTGACCTGAGATATTTATGTGTGTGCCGTTTAATTTTTAAATAGTTGACAGATGGGGGTGGGGTTCTATATCTTAAGGTGATTGATTTCTACTGTAGTAAATCATGCAGGAAACAAGTCTGCATGATTTCAAATTTTAAAAAAGTAGTGGAAATACTTTGTTTTGATAGCATTGGTTATATACATGTCAAAAATGATCAAATTTCTTACTTCAATGTATGCATTTTATTGTGCTTTAGTTTTACCTCAATAAAGCTATGAGGAGCCTGGGGGAGGGAGCTCTACAAATTGTCAGCTGCATGTCACTCTGAGCCCTTTTGAAGATCCCTGGAAACTCTTCGGCCTCAAATCCAGGAAAAGCTGTTCTTTGCTCGAGTTTCTGGCATATTCTGCCGTTCATCTCACCCTCCCTTTGCTATGACCAAGGTGGAGTTTGGAGACGCACGTGGCTCAGCTTTGCCAGTTATCCAGAACACTGTGAACACGGCTTCCAACCTCCACACTTCGTCTTGCTGTCCTGTACCTCCATCTCTGTAGCCTTCCGTTTCCTTGTTTTGCTACCATTTTATGGACACCTCACCAGATCTCCCAGTATCTAGAGGTTGTAAGGTCCCCCTAACACCAGTGTTTGCATAATGGAGCTGTGAGGAACCGGGAATCAGCTGGAGCACAGGGAGGGGCGTCTGTCTGGTCACTGGGTGCGGGTGTCCAGATGCCCAGACTTGTTCTGGCTCAGCGACTCTGGACCCTTGCCTGCTTGTTCCGGGGCTGCATTTCCTGTCTTCCCCTTCATCAGATCTTGAGCAAGTGTCTGTCTCCCTGCCACTCCCCACATGCCCCCAGGGCAGTGAACACGCAGTGCCTGTGGCAGCCCAGTGACCTTCCCCTCTGCTTGGCTCTGCTCTGCTGCCAGGGCACAGCGGGCTGGTTTCCTCTCATTGCTTCTGCTAAGCTCTTCACCCTGCGGATCAGAGGACAGTCTCTACCAGTGTGCTGTTAGGACTTGTGTCCAGCCGTCCCTGCAGGCTTTCCCTCCAGACCAGCCTGTATCATGACACAATGTCAGGAAGCCCAGACATGCCCAAGGCGCTGGCTCTCAGATCCCGGAATGTGACTCTTGCCCGGGTCAGTGCATAAGAGACCAGAGAATCCAGAGAATCCAATGGGTGCGGTGATTTGTCTTTTCCTCTTTTATGATTTTTTTTAAGTAGATGAAATTCAAGTTTCAGATTCAGGTTAACAACTACTTATTTAAAAAAAATAAGTGGAAACTACTTTTCTCAGGTTCCTTTCTTATGAATACTTCTCTTCCTTATAGGAGCTTATACATTTGTTCCATGGCTTCTCAGCTTTAAGAGAGGAAGAGCCCTGGAAGAAAAAGAGAATAAAATAGTGGTGAAAGAAACCGGGTACTTCTTTATATATGGCCAGGTAGGTTCACAGCCTCCTGTTTATAGTCCGATGCCTCCCGATCCGTGCACTCGTCTGGCAGTGTTCTTTGGTTTGTTCTCAGGTTTTGTACACCGATAGCACCTTTGCCATGGGACACCTAATACAGAGGAAAAAAGTCCACGTCTTTGGGGACGAGTTGAGTCTGGTGACATTGTTCCGATGTATTCAGAATATGCCAGAAACACTACCCAACAACTCCTGTTATTCAGCTGGTAAGTGACCGTTCTCAGACCTGCTTGTTGTGGAATGCAGACAGACTGGGCTGAAAATCTAGCTGCCCAGGGCAGGAAAGAAAGGACAGGCCATAAATATAAACAGGCAGATGTTCTTCAGTACATTGTGTTTTATTATCTTGAAGGATGAGCCCATCTGTTGATATGGTTGGAATCATTACTAATAGTTGAACATTTTTTATATACATTTAGAAAGCAGAGCAACTTCGTAGAGCTCTACATTGACAGCAATTCCAACAATACAACAACTACACTAATACCTAACAGAGATCTCCATCTGCCAGGTACTCTCCCTGGTGCTCACTGAATCTTCCACTTAAGGGAGGAGGAAGCTGAGGCACAGAGAGGTAACATAACTTCTCCCAGGTTGCACAGCTGCGAAGTTCCAGAACTTGGAGTAAACCAGCTAGTCTGGTCCACAGTGGGAGCCAGCAGAACTTCCACCTTCTGGGAAGAATGGCCTCAGGTGGGCATGAGTGCACAAAGGACAGGATGGCACACCATCTCTCCTTTCAGACGGGTAGCCTCTGGTGTCAAGGGACACCTGGCAGGTGACTTTGGGATGTGAGAGTGTAGGAGTGACCCTGCTTTTGAACTCAGGAGAGAGCAGAAGCTCAGGGAAGCAGGCTTGGTAACAGCCTGGGAGGGCTGTTTTATTTTGGGGGATTGATTTCATGTTCTTCAAGGCTGGCTTTTTAAAAACATGCTCATCTTGGTCACACTAATTCCCCCATGGAGATTTTGACACATCGGTTCAGAGCCCCGAGGAATGTCTTCAGCCTCAGGCAGTGCCTGGGAAGGGCACACAGTGTGGTCACAGGATTGGGAAATACTTGAACTATTCTAAAGGCAGTTCCAAACAAACCCCCAGTCAATCAGTTAGAAACGGATGCAGTGTGACATAGGACATAGGACAGTGGTGCATAGTGAGGAAGGTGGCATCATTCTGGATGTGAATAGCTACAGTGGGGGCGGGAGGAAGTCTGAAATTGGAATTCCCTGATTTTCATACAGGCAACTTTCTTTGTGCCCAGTGCTGACTAGCATTTTGATATTGCAAAATCTTTATAAATGTCAAGGCCACTCCTGTCTTATTTATATGCATTAGTACTTGGAGTTTCACAACTAACTCTAAAATTTTCTAATCATCTACTCATCTCACATTCACTTCCTTGGAGAGTATGCTGCCAGATTGCCTGGGTGCCTGTTAAAACAATAATTGCCTTGATTTTAAAGATATTTCTTAGTACTAATAACTCTGTTACATAGGAGAACAATTCTCTAACAATCTTCAGGCTTGCAATTTTAATGTCTTAGGTTGAATTTGTTTAAAGTCATTAAAAACTGCATGATAGTGTATGACTGCATGAACTACTTCCATAGTTACCTGAAAAGACTGAAAGGGTCAGCTTAAGAAGCCCAACAAAATACTAGGGACCACTAATGTACCTAAAGCTGAATCTTACTATTAGTAAATTGAATATAATTATTGTTCAAAAAGTTACAGCCAACTGTTACAGTTGGAAGAGTAGAAAAAGTCCCAAACAGTGTCAGAGTTTTAAATAAGACTTATTTACTCTTAATCTTGAGTTATTATTAATTAGTGCTCTGTGAGCTATTTCCTTTATACGATAAGCACAAGTGTATTTAATAAGTGAGAAAAATAGAAAAAAGATCAAGATTTAACTCTTTAATATAGTCAATTTTCAAATGCTTTAATGATTCTAGAAAGTATATTCACTACCCTAAACAATGTCTAAAACAGACACTGTTGTCTGTCTTGGCCCATTACAAAAAAACAAGACCTTGGGGACAGGAAGCTGTCATCCTCCATCACTGCTCCTACCTAGATGAGCAGTGAATGTACACAGAATGGATTCTATAGACAAACTGGCTGTGTGGACCCAGGAGGTCTGGTGCTTTGAGCCTTAGGTTGAGTGGAGGTGTGTATGTGAGTCAGTTTCACTGTGTGCTAACGATACAAGGCACCACTTTCTAAGTTGTTACGTTTAGGTCTTGACCATTTAGGTACTAGTTATTTGGTGTATTTGTTCTTCAACTCCTTGCCCCTCTTCTCCATATTTTTTGTTTATGATAGCCAACAATTACCCCTTATATTTACTGTAGGTCTTGAGTTGTATTTTGTATTCTTAATTCACTGGATACATCATTGTAAATTAGACACACGGATACCTTGGTCATTTTTTTTGAGAGAGAGAGAGAGAGAGAGAAAGAGAAAGAGAATTTTTTAATATTTATTTGTTAGTTTTCGGCAGACACAACATCTTTGTTTGTATGTGGTGCTGAGGATCGAACCCGGGCCGCACGCATGCCAGGTGAGCACGCTACCGGTAGAGCCACATCCCCAGCCCCCCTTGGTCATTTTTAATGAGCTAATCTCTTTGTTTCTTTTGATTATAAGGCAAACGGTTATTTAAGGAAACCTAATACAAGGAAGGCTTCTCCCCTAAAGAGTGGCTCAGTGGTAGAGCGCTTGCCTCACGCGTGTGAGGCACTGGCTTCAATTCTCAGCACCACATATAAATAAGTGAATAAAATAAAGGTCCATCAACCCTAAAAAAAAAAAAAATTTAAAAAGTGATCCAAAATGACACCTAACACCATAGCAGGAACTCTAGTGGAAGACTGTGCCAACCAATGTGCTTTGCTAAGCAATAGCTTTTTTTTTTAAGTTCTTAATATTTATACTTCTATATGCTCATTTAAAAGTATAATTAAGACTATAGGGCTGGTGATGTGGCTCAAGCAGTAGCTCTCTCGCCTGGCATGCGTGCGGCCCGGGTTCCATCCTCAGCACCACATACAAACAAAGATGTTGTGTCTGCCGAAAACTAAAAGATATTAAAAAAAAATTCTCTTAAAAAAAAAAAAACTATCCTCTGTATTTTTATTTTTGCATTTTTATTTAGTATTAGAAAAGGTTTCCTTTTTCAATAAAATTAAGCAAAACCCTTCTCTATGTAATATTCTATCAAGGGATATGCTACATAACTTATTTAACTTGTTTCTAAAGTTTGATTTTTGGGTCCTTTTCTGAGTCTTCATTTTATAAACAGATGATAAACCTATTTGTTTCTGTTGTACCTCCTCCTGCGTATTTCTTTATTTTACTTTTAAGGCCAATAGTGTTGCAGCTGGTCTCTTGATGCACCTAAAGTGTGTCTCCTTATTTTAATAATTTTTTCTGAAACATTTTGCTTTAAGTTGTTTTCTTCCTTTATCACAAAACAACCATCTTAAGTTCTTGTAAATCACTCTTCCCCAGGCATTGCGAAGCTGGAGGAAGGAGATGAACTTCAACTTGCAATACCACGAGAAGATGCAAAGATTTCACGGGACGGAGATGGCACCTTTTTTGGGGCATTGAAACTTCTGTGACCCACTTATGCCGTGTCTGTGGCTCTTTGCCCCTCTTCCTCTGCACCTCTAAGGGGGAATCACTTAACTGGAAGTGCCAAAAGGGGAAAAGTAGTTACCATAGCCTTTTCTGTGAGCTGTTTATTTTGGTTTGCTGAAAGTGGTCCAAAACAGGAAATTTAACAGACAACCACAGCCAAAGAGTGTCATGTGAATTACAAGAAATAGAGCCTGTATTCAGAAAGATAGAATTATACTGAAAAGTCTTTCTAATTCTATCTTGAACAATGTACCACAGCTTCTTCTCTCAGAGGAAGCACATGGCTCAAAGAGCAGTAGTGACTTCTCCAAAAGTGATATTCCATCATGTCCCCTGGAACTTGTGCCCACATCTGTAGGACATGGAGACATCTATGGACAGTCTCAGATTTCATTTTTTCTTGTTAAAAATGCCCCTCTTGGGCCTGGGGTTATGGCTCAGCGGTAGGGCTCTTGCCTCGCACATGCAAGGCCCTGGGTTCGATCCTCAGCACCACATATAAGTTTAAAAAAAAAAAAAAGGCCCCTCTTTAAGTTAATGTCATAGAAAGTTTGACAACAACAAAAAAACCTCTAGAAATCTTGCATTAAGTACAAGAATAATTGAAAGTTTAGTGGTTTTGATTTTAGGTTCCAGTTAAAAGAATAAACAACTTTAAAAAGTTCAATTTTAAATATTACACAATTGGACTGAAAAGAGGATAAATGTACCACTTAAGTTTTTGCTTGGTTCAACTATGCAATTTTCACCTCTAATATTATCTATTACCCAGACATTTCACAGAAGGAAAAGAATTTTCTCCATTGTATATGCATGTATGTATTTTTTATAATTTCACTTCAAACATTTAGATGTAGGGCAATTTCACCTTATGCATATAAAGCACTAATTAAAAATAACTAGTTGCACTTATATAAAGTAAAGTCTCCAAGAGAAATGAATGAAGACATTTATGATAAAGTAATATAATTTCCCTTTATTTCTGGTTTTTCTATTTCAAACTGCTGCTATTGTAGTCCACGTATCCCAGCCTTTCACACACACCTGGTACTTGCTTTATGGAAGCGGAGGTGTCACTGAAGGCCTTAGCATCCTGGAGTTAGGAGCATGCATGTACTCTTGCAAAGCTCCAACGTCTCAGAAGACATGATCGTAATTCTAATTTTATCAGGAATCATACTTGACAATGCCGTAGTACTTAACATTTTTGTAACAGCTGCTTCCTTTGTCTTTTGTCATCTTATCTCATTAACAGTAAACTTCACTAAGTAGTTGCCTTCATTTGTTTAAATAGTTTTTGGAAAAAAATGCCCCAGTCTACATCAACTTTTCATGTAGAAAGTTTTTAAAGACACTTTTCAAAACTAAGAAAATGATTTAAGATTGTATCTAAAACCAAACTTTGTTTAAATCTCTGGTTCTTAAGTTTTTCCTTGTTGATCCAAATAAAATATATTTAGCAATTCATTTTGCTTTTTTTTTTTTTTTTTTTAAAAGAAGTGAGGACTGGGGATGTGGCTCAAGCAGTAACTCGCTCGCCTGGCATGCACGGGGCTCTGGATCCTCAGCACCACATAATAAAAAAACAAATAAGTAAAGGTGTTGTGTCCACTGAAAAATAAATATTAAAAAATTCTCTCTCCTCTCTTTAAAAAAAAAGAGAAAGGAATAAGACGTGATAGGAGGAGGAGGGCTTTGATACTGGGGGAGTGGTTGGTCCCCTCCCCTGCTGGCTGCTGACGGCCCAGTAATAGGACTCAGAACCTCTGCGTCCTCGTCCATCTGCATTTGTCTAGCATCACGGGTCCTCTGGTTTCATGTAGTTGTCACTTGACGATCAGGTGAGAACCACTGTGAAGTGTTGTGAAGTGTCTGGAACCCCTAATGTGTTCCACATGTGTGGAGGGTCTGTTCACCTCTATACCCACTTATTATCCTCCTCTCCTGGAGCAACAGGTGTTTAAAGAGGTAACACGGAATGTCACAGGCTCACGCTGTACACTATTGCAGTCTACAGCATGTGCATCTATAGCTTTAAAAGATTTAACATTTTGTCAGTGGATGCAGAATGTGGCCATATAAGATAGTTTTAACTTTTATTTTCCTTTCAGTTTAAACCATTATTGAAATATGAATCCCGTTTTCCTTGTATGTATTATGAGGAAAACACTGTGGTTAAGTAAAAGTTTATTTAAAAACCAGGAAACAGACTAGGTGCGGTGGCACACATCTGTAATCCCAGTGGCTTGGGAGGCTAAGACAGGAGGATCCCAAGTTCAAAGCCAGCCTGAGCAATGGCAAGCCACTAAGCAACTCTGACCCTGTCTCTAAATAAAATACAAAATAAGGCTGGGGGCATGGCTCAGTGGTTGAGTGCCCCCAGTTCAATTCCTGGTACCGAAACAAACAGAAAACAGGAAATAGGATCAAGAGTAGGTGAACAGTGCATGTGGGAATCTCTTGCAGCCGTAATTGGCCGAGTTGCCTTTTTCCTTCCTCAAGTTAGTTAAGGGGGAAAAATGATTTCATTCTAGGTTTTCCTATAACAAAACATTTTTAAGTTTTAAGTGTATGGGCCCAACCTAGACATCCTTTTGCCTTAAATCCTAAGTCAAGAGCAGTGAGTACAAACACCTGCTTGAAGCTTCCTTTGTGTGGGAACTATGTGAATTAGCAGACCATCCCAAGGGAATAATTTGCAGCTCTCAATGGCACTTGGAGAAATGCTCTGTGAGTCACTGTGGGAAGAGGTCCTTGCGCTGTGGTGCGTTATGGATGTTTCTATCATGGGTAGAAGAATGCACAGATCTGTTTGAATTCTCAATTGAATTCAAGGCACAGACACAAGGGTGCATCTTTACAAAGTGGTGGTACCCTGGGAATGCTGCGCAGCTGTAAACCCGGCCGTTGCCACACCCTGTCTTTCTGCTCCTCTGTCCTCAGTGACTACCGCCCTGCTGACTGCTAGCCGTCTCCCCTCTCCGGCTCTGCAGGGCACACTGGGTGCTGGTGAGCTTTCCATTACTGGGACAGAGATGAACGACTTCTAAGGAGAAAAGGTTTGCTTTGGCTCATGATTTCAGGCCTTGAGCCCGTGGTAAGGCAGGGCATCCCGCTGGGAGCACACAGCAGGGAAACTGGCCTCCTCATGGCCCCCAGGAGGCAAAGACAGTCAGGAAGAGGCTGGGTCCCCATGTCCCCTTCAAGAGCATGCTGCAGGACCTCACCTCTTTCCCAGGCCCTGCCTCCTAGAGGTTCTACCACCTCCCAGTAGTGCCATGAGCTGGGGACAAAGCCTGCGACCCTTGGGCTTTAGGGGGCGGCTTACAAATCCTCACTGTTGGTACGGGATGTTCTCGTCTGAGTCCACCGGCACTTACTCGTCATTCTAACTGTGACGTTTGCCATGATGCTGCATGTAGCTGTGGTTCTTTCCAGCTCACAGCTCCACAGAACGTCACTCCAGGATAAGTCACAGTGCATTTCTCTTTCACTATGGAAGGGTCTTTGGAGTATTTCCAGTTGTGGCTGATATGAGTAATATTTCTGTGAATGTTTTCTTAAAATATTTTGAGGAAGCCATACACTTGTGTCTTCTGGATGTGGATCTGAAAGTGGAATTTTTGCTGCATAAAATAGACGCTCAGCTTCGGGAGAGGCCGCCCCAGTGGTGAACCGTTTGCAGAACCTCTAACAACCAGGCTACAGTAAGCAGCACTTGACTTGGCTCATGACTGCCACTTGCTTCTGCCAGGCAAACACGCTCCTCTTTGTCTGGGACGCCACTCGGCTGTCCTTGTGTTAGTGCCTAGAGTGGAGTGGAAAATAGCATTTATTCCCGGTTAACCACAGACACATTCACTCCTATAAGTCAATTTTGTAAGCCTTTATAAATTAGGTAATCTTTCACACATTGATCATTGCCGCAGTCTGGCTGGGCACAATTCAGGAGCCACTTGTCAAAAGAAACAAACTTTATTTTTAGAACCACACACGCCAAACAAAACAGCTCCTCAGGAAAACCTTCAGAGCCCAACTGCCACCACCGGCTTCCCACAAGCCTCTCCCCCTCCCCCACTCCTCCTGCTCTTGAGGCTGATTGGCTGGGTTGCATGGGTGGAGCCAAAAAAGTCCCCCAATAAGCAGCTGCGTAGTCTGAAAGGGCGGGGAAACAGCCCAATGAGCATCACTGCAGAGGAGCCAATCAGCTAGAAGTTGCTGGGGCCGCTGTGAGCCAATCATCAGCTGGCAGTCTGAAAGTTTGCTGGGGCCCCTTGGGCTGTGGCTCTCAACAGATCATGGTAGGCAAAGGGTCCCAAGGGCAGGGGCTGTAGCTCAGTGGTAGAGCGCTTGTCTAGCATGTGTGAGGCTCTGGCTTCAATTCTCCGCATCAAGTACAATAAAAATCCATTGACAACTAAAAAATATTAAAAAAAAGAAAAGAGTCCCAGGCCCTCCGAGCAGTTTCTTCCTTTGGGTTCTTCTCCTATGGTCAAGGCCCAGGTGTGAGGGCCTGGAGAGGGCAGCCAGCAGCTCTGGTCACTGAGGAGACTCTGTTGATCTGCTCCCAGATGAGGAAGAAGCAGAGGCAGAGTGGGATCATCTTGACTTTCTCACCTTCTCCATCACCATATCCCAGTGGATTGTCTCTTATTTAAAAAATGAGGTGATATTATATTTGTGATTACTTTTCTAAAAGTTACAATAAGAATAGGAGCTGTTTGCCCGTGAACCCTTGGCATGGTTGCCCACTCCCGTCTATTCCACGGTCTCAGTGCAGAATGAGCTGGAATATGTTCAGACTAGATCATTTCCCCCTGCACACCAAATTTCATGCATGTGAAATGTTTTAGGAATTTGCTTTGTTTATCTAATTTTAATTCTTATCTTGTTTTTGCCAGGTCTTGCCTCAATCACACATTGTATTTAAAACTAGTCACAAAGACAGGAGCCAGTAGACGGACTGAAGGGGTGGCTACCTGGTGAAGGCCTGTTTGTTGTGCTGTTGTGATTCTGAATAGCCAATTTAGGTTTCTCAGTGGCCTATTTGCCATTTCAGAGGACTAAAAATATAACAATACAGAGACAATGATATGCCTGGTCTATGGCAGAGCAGTTGGTGAAGTTTTTTGTCTCATTTTTTTCATCTACAAGTGCTCCCATGGTTTGCTTTCACAAATGAATGCATAGACCCAGATCCATTTTAAACTGTTGAGCAGACATTCTTCATGGTAGAAGAGTGTGGTTATACCATTATCTCTAGAGTTGTATTTATAGCAGCAAAATGTCTTATGAGATTTTACCCATGTCTCTACGTAGGCTTGTATGTGTGTGTGCAGGCATGTGTGTGTCCATGGTATTGGAAGTCTTACAGCATGCCAAACATTCTTCTCCGTAGGGCCGATTATGACCTGGGGTGGTGACAGGCATGGACATGGTCCCTGAGGCCGTCTTGTCAGTGTCCTATCACATCAGGGCTTGACCCTGCTCTCTGGTTATTAGCAGGTACAAAGGAAGATTCAGCCTGTTACTAGTTATCATCTGAGATGGGAAGATGGCATTGAAAAGACAGGAGCATCACAGGCCTGGAGAAGGCAGGGATTCTTGACCTCCGAGTTCATAGGTTGACACGTTTTTAAAACTTTGTGACTTCATTTTGAAGTAATTTTGGATTTTTAGAAATCTAGAAAAAATTAAACAGCACAAAGAAGCCTCTTTACATTCACTGATTGTTAACATCTTACAGTACAGGTTCAAAAACAGGACAGTAACACTGATCCATCCCTTAAATAAAGTTGAGACCTTATAGAAATCGACCGAAGGCTGTTGTAAGGCAGAATTTAATATTAAGTAGCTGCCTTTATGCCAATTATGATCTTATCACAGCATTCTTCATGAATAGAAAACACTAATTAAAAAGTCAAAAAATATGCATTGAGGAATTATAGTAGAAAAAGTCATTCTAAGTAACTTATGGGTTAAAGAAAAGGGATATGGAAATGGAAAAATATTTAAAGTTACATGATAATGAAATACATCACAAGAAAATTCTTGAAATTTTATAAGATATTTGAAATTTTATGAACTTAAATGCTTATATTAGGAAAGAAGAATGGCTGAACATAATAGACTAAGAATCCATAGCAAGAACCAGACAGAAACAAGAGCAAGATAAAAGCAAAGCAAACCAACAAGAAAATCAAAACCAATAGAAGTATAAGCAGTGCCAGATGCAGGGTACAGGCCTGTAATCCCAGTGGCTTGGGAGGCTGAGGCAGGAGGAGCTCTAATTCAAAGCCAGCCTCAGCAATGACGAGGCACTAAGCAACTCAGTGAGACCCTGCCTCTAAATACAAAATAGGGCTGAGGATGTGGCTCAGTGGTCGAGTGTCCCCGAGTTCAAACCTGGCACCCCATCCCCCAAAAAGTAGAAGAATTAAGAATAAGAAATTCAGAAAAAAAGGTTA